GGACCATGGAAGTGCCGATGATCACGGCGTCGTCGCGTTCCGACTCGTGAAGAGGGGAGAAGCGGTTCCGGGTGGAGATCTCGAAGACCGGGAGGGGCGGAGAGGCTCTTGCTCTGGTCCTGGCTCGTGTCTTCCGCTGTGGGATCACCCAGGGTCCATGGTGTTGTGTAGGTGCCGGAGTGAATGAAGCCAGAGATGATCGCGTCCTCCTGGGCAGAGAAACGCACGGAGTCGAGGAAGTCGGAGTCAAAAAGTTACTAACCACTGACTTGTGAGCATCGGCGCGTGACGTTTCAAGCGCTGATCGCCGATCCCGCAGCTCGGCTTGCCTCTCCAGCAGACCACGGATCTGTTTCTCCACCGATTCCAGTTCCAATCGTACCAACATCAGCTCGAATGTGTCCTCACCTGCACTCAGAGGTAACGTTAGACACACATCCGATATGTTCGCCATTATAACAGATGAACAGTAAATTAGCAGTGATACTACCAATATCACTACTAATTTAGGACTGGAATGCTGGATATAACCTGTATCCTTTCAGTGAAACGGGTGTAAAATCAGACGCTCGATAGGCGCAAGCCCACGCGTGAAATGCTAGCGGGCTAAAGGCTAGTAGCCGAGATTCGCAAAGTTGGATCTAAGTAGCGATATCAAAGCAATCCGATTGTTTTTTTTATAGGGAATAGTATCGAGGATAGGTTCACACGATATAAAAATAGAAAGTGCTTGTTAATAAATGAGTGGTAAAGAAGAAAATCAAGGATTAATGAATCAATTCGACGAAGCTCTAAACACAAACAAACACATAATGAGGACCTCTAGTGACAAACAAGGGAACACAACCAGACACTGTGACATAACCCCCCCTCTACGGAGCGGCTACCAGACGCTCCACGACAACACTGAAACCCAACACAAGAGTTCAGGAGGGAGGTGGAATGGTGGAGGATCAGGGGAGGGATGGTGGGCCAGGTCCATGAAGGGAGACAGGAACAAGAGGTGAGGGCTTGACCGGGGACCAGGGCAAAACAGAGAGTCTATCGGGCATCCAGGGCGAAACAGAGAGTCCATCGGGCGGCCAGGGCGAAGCAGACAGTCCATCGGGCGACCAGGGCGAAGCAGACAGTCCATCGGGCGGCCAGGGCGAAGCAGACAGTCTACCAGATGGCCAGGGCGGTGAAGACCCTTCGGGCGGCCAGGGCGGTGAAGACCCCTCGGGCGGCCAGGGCGGTGAAGACCCCTCGGGCGGCCAGGGCGGTGAAGACACTTCGGGCGGCCAGGGCGGTGAAGACCCCTCGGGCGGCCATGGCAGAGGCTCTGGAACAGACACTGGCACCGGCTCAGGAACAGCAACCGACACCGGCTCAGGAACAGCAACCGACACCGGCTCAGGAACAGCAACCGACACCGACCCGGCGGCGGCCATCCTGTCTGGGGGCACTGGAACAGGCTCAGGAACAGACACTGGCTCCGGCTCAGGGACAGTCACTGGCTCCGGCTCAGGGACAGACACTGGTTCCGGCTCAGGGACAGACACTGGCTCCGGCTCAGGGACAGACACTGGCTCCGGCTCAGGGACAGACACTGGCTCCGTCTCAGGGACAGACACTGGCTCCGGCTCAGGGACAGACACTGGCTCCGGCTCAGGGACAGACACTAAAACTGTAACAGCCACAAGAACAGACACAAACACAGAAACAAACACTGGCTCCGGCTCTGAAACGGGCACTGGCTCCGGATCTGGAACGGGCACTGGCTCCGGCACTGGCTCCGGCTCTGGAACGGGCACTGGCTCCGGCTCTGGAATGGCAGAGAGTGGCATCTCCAGGATCCGAGCCAGATGCTCCAAATAATCCATCATAGCCTTGGCGGCCACACGAATGGGCATCTCTTGATCTATCTCTGGCTGGGCAGACGGAACGTGAACAATCTCTGACTGGGCAGACGTGACGTGAACAGTCTCTGGCTGGGCAGACGTGACGTGAACAGTCTCTGGCTGGGCAGACGTGACGTGAACAGTCTCTGCCTGGGCAGACGTGACGTGAACAGTCTCTGGCTGGGCAGACGTGACGTGAACAGTCTCTGGCTGGGCAGACGTGACGTGAACAATCTCTGGCTGGGCAGACGTGACGTGAACAGTCTCTGGCTGGGCAGACGTGACGTGAACAGTCTCTGGCTGGGCAGACGTGACGTGAACAGTCTCTGGCTGGGCAGACGTGACGTGAACAGTCTCTGGCTGGGCAGACGTGACGTGAATGAACATCATTACCATATTCACAAATATACGTCTCACTTAGTGAACAAGAACTATTGTGCATAAAGGAGTTGAACCCTCATGATTTGGTGCAATGGAAGTTTATTCTCATGACAATTATGCTCATATACTCCAATATTTGCCTGAACGTAATGTGGCTTTTTATTTCCTCTTATTCTCTGTCTTTTATTGCCTGTAGTACAAAAGTTACTGTTAAGTTAAAACAGTAGTTAAAAATACACTAAGTTAAAAATAGTAACATCACCTTTATTTCTTTAGTGCTTTATACAATACAGATTGTTTTAAAGCAGCTTCACAGTGATAAAAATGAAAATAAGTGTTAATGATGCAAACTTCATCAAATATAGCTGCGTTTCCACAGAAATTACCCTGAACAATCTGTCCCAGTATCTTTTTTTTCCCCCAGACCTGTTGCTGTCTGTTTCCATCGTGGTCTAAAATACCGTGAAGATTAGGCAAATTAGTCTGGTGACGTAGGACTGTATGCGACTTTCCAGTTCCCGCTGCATTTTGTCCTCCTCAAATAAGCTTAATAAAGCCTGAACCTCATCGTCGGTCCATCGGCCGTATTATTTAAACTCCACTGTTGATTCGAATAGCAAACAACTGCTACTGCACGCACAGATGAAATGCTGCGTGGAGTTAACCAATCAAAATGCTGCATGAACTCAACCAATCAGCATGTTCAGCGCCCAAGTCCCACCCCTGAAAGTTCCTGAACTTTGAAAAAGTACTACCTCAGAAGCAGGGACTTTCTGAGGGAGAAATATTTACCTGGAACTTCATTTAGACCCTGGTGAGTTCCACCCCAGAGTCCCTAGTTCCTGGGGAAAGTTCCTGCGGTGGAAACACACAGAGTACCAGCCCAGAGTCCCTAGTTCCTGGGGAAAGTTCCTGCGGTGGAAACACACAGAGTACCAGCCAAGAGTCCCTAGTTCCTGGGGAAAGTTCCTGCGGTGGAAACACACCGAGTCCCACCCCAAAGTCCCTAGTTCCGGGGGAAAGTTCCAGCGGTGGAAACACACCGAGTCCCACCCCAAAGTTCCTAGTTCCTGGGGAAAGTTCCTGAGGTGGAAACACACCGAATCCCACCCCAAAGTCCCTAGTTCCTGGGTAAAGTTCCTGCGGTGGAAACGCACCGAGTCCCACCCCAAAGTTCCAAGTTCCTGGGGAAAGTTCCTGCGGTGGAAACACACCGAGTACCAGCCCAGAGTCCCTAGTTCCTGAGGAAAGTTCCTGTGGTGGAAACACAACGAGTACCAGCCCAGAGTCCCTAGTTCCTGGGGAAAGTTCCTGCGGAGGAAACACACAGAGTACCAGCCCAGAGTCCCTAGTTCTTGGGGAAAGTTCCTGCGGAGGAAACACACAGAGTACCAGCCCAAAGTTCCTAGTTCCGGGGGAAAGTTCCTGCGGTGGAAACACACCGAGTCCCACCCCAAAGTTCCTAGTTCCTGGGGAAAGTTCCTGAGTTGGAAACACACCAAGTCCCACCCCTAAGTCCCTAGTTCCTGGGGAAAGTTCCTGTGGTGGAAACACAACGAGTACCAGCCCAGAGTCCCTAGTTCTTGGGGAAAGTTCCTGCGGAGGAAACACACAGAGTACCAGCCCAAAGTTCCTAGTTCCTGGGGAAAGTTCCTGCGGTGGAAACACACCGAGTCCCACCCCAAAGTTCCTAGTTCCTGGGGAAAGTTCCTGAGGTGGAAACACACCGAGTCCCACCCCTAAGTCCCTAGTTCCTGGGGAAAGTTCCTGCGGTGGAAACACACCGAGTACCAGCCCAGAGTCCCTAGTTCCTGGGGAAAGTTCCTGCGGTGGAAACACACCGAGTACCAGCCCAGAGTCCCTAGTTCCTGGGGAAAGTTCCTGCGGTGGAAACACACCGAGTACCAGCCCAGAGTCCCTAGTTCCTGGGTAAAGTTCCTGCGGTGGAAACGCACCGAGTCCCACCCCAAAGTTCCAAGTTCCTGGGGAAAATTCCTGAGGTGGAAACACACCGAGTCCCACCCCAAAGTCCCTAGTTCCTGGGGAAAGTTCCTGCGGTGGAAACACACCGAGTACCAGCCCAGAGTCCCTAGTTCCTGGGTAAAGTTCCTGCGGTGGAAACGCACCGAGTCCCACCCCAAAATTCCAAGTTCCTGGGGAAAATTCCTGAGGTGGAAACACACCGAGTCCCACCCCAAAGTCCCTAGTTCCTGGGGAAAGTTCCTGCGGTGGAAACACAACGAGTACCAGCCCAGAGTCCCTAGTTTCTAGGGAAAGTTCCTGCGGAGGAAACACACCGAGTACCAGCCCAAAGTTCCTAGTTCCTGGGGAAAGTTCCTGCTGTGGAAACACACAGAGATTGCGAGATTTACATTTGTAATCATGAGAAAAAAGTCGGAATTGCGAGATATAAACTCGGAATAATGAGAAAAAAGTCGGAATCGCAAGATATAAACTCGGAATCGTGGGAAAAAAGTCAGAATTGTGAGAAAGTTGCAATTGTCTTTATTATTTTGTTCTGTGTCAGACACAAGCTTCAAGAGTGTCAGTGCAGTCAAACTGATATTACTGAATATTAAGTGTGTCTTAAAGCATAAGATGTTACAGTGGTATATTACTGTACTGTATATATCATTATGTGTTTTGGCGTTGTAGTCATGAGGAGGATGAGAATTGTTGCTGGTCTAGAGTAGACTTCTGTCGCTGTAAGCGTGGTCTGGTGTGTGTGTGTCGCTGTAAGCGGGGTCTTTGTGTGTGTCGCAGCACCGCTTCCAGCCCCAGAACCCCCTGCAGGCTGCACAGGCCTTCAGCCCTCGGGAGGCAGAGGACGAGGAGCTACGGCTCAGCGCACAGACGCTGCTGCTGCCCACCAGAGGACAGATGGAGGCGCGCATGATGGTCAGCGCCTTCGAGATGGGCCTGGACAACGTGAGCGAGGACGCCGTCAGCAGCCTGCTGTGTGCTCTGGAGGTCAGCCGTCATAACAGCTCCTGCATTCATAACTCATGCAGTCATAACAGCCCCTGCATTCATTACTCATGCAGTCATAACCGCTCCTGCATTCATAACAGCTTGTGCAGTCATAACAACTACATTCACAACAGCTTGTGCATTCATAACTTGTAGATTCATAAAAACTACATTCATAACCGCTCTTGCATTAATAACAGCTTGTGCAGTCAAAACAACTACATTCATAACCGCTCCTGCATTCATAACAGCTTGTGCATTCATAACAACTACATTCATAACAACTCATGCATTCATAACAGGTCATGCATTCATAACAGGTCATGCATTCATAACTACTACATTCATAACAGCTCATGCATTCATAACAACTACATTCATAACAACTCATGCATTCTTAACTTGTAGATTCATAACATCATGTAAATTCATAACTCGTAGATTCACAACTGCTCAAGCATTCATAACAGCTCACACATTCACAACAGCTCACGCATTCAAAACAGCTCACGCATTCATAACAGCTCACGCAGTCACAACAGCTCACGCATTGATAACAGCTCACGCATTGATAACAGCTCACGCATTGATAACAGCTCACGCATTCAAAACAGCTCACGCATTGATAACAGCTCACGCATTGATAACAGCTCACGCATTGATAACAGCTCACGCATTGATAACAGCTCACGCATTGATAACAGCTCACGCATTGATAACAGCTCATGCATTGATAACAGCTCACGCATTGATAACAGCTCACGCATTGATAACAGCTCACGCATTGATAACAGCTCACGCATTGATAACAGCTCATGCATTGATAACAGCTCACGCATTGATAACAGCTCACGCATTGATAACAGCTCACGCATTGATAACAGCTCACGCATTTATAACAGCTCATGCATTGATAACAGCTCACGCATTGATAACAGCTCATGCATTGGTCACAGCTCACGCATTGTTAACAGCTCACGCATTGATAACAGCTCATGCATTGATAACAGCTCACGCATTGATAACAGCTCACGCATTGATAACAGCTCACGCATTGATAACAGCTCACGCATTGATAACAGCTCAAGCATTGATAACAGCTCACGCATTGATAACAGCTCACGCATTGATAACAGCTCAAGCATTGATAACAGCTCACGCATTGATAACAGCTCACGCATTGATAACAGCTCACGCATTGATAACAGCTCATGCATTGATAACAGCTCACGCATTGATAACAGCTCATGCATTGATAACAGCTCACGCATTGGTAACAGCTCATGCATTGAAGTTCATGCATTGATAACAGCTCACGCATTGATAACAGCTCACGCATTGAAGCTCATGCATTGATAACAGCTCACGCATTGATAACAGCTCACGCATTGATAACAGCTCACGCATTGAAGCTCATGCATTGATAACAGCTCACGCATTGATAACAGCTCACGCATTGATAACAGCTCACGCATTGATAACAGCTCACGCATTGAAGCTCATGCATTGATAACAGCTCACGCATTGATAACAGCTCACGCATTGATAACAGCTCAGGCATTGATAACAGCTCATGCATTGATAACAGCTCATGCATTGATAACAGCTCACGCATTGAAGCTCATGCATTGATAACAGCTCACGCATTCATAACAGCTCATGCATTGATAACAGCTCACGCATTGATAACAGCTCACGCATTGATAACAGCTCACGCATTGATAACAGCTCACGCATTGATAACAGCTCACGCATTGATAACAGCTCACGCATTGATAACAGCTCACGCATTGATAACAGCTCATGCATTGATAACAGCTCACGCATTGATAACAGCTCACGCATTGAAGCTCATGCATTGATAACAGCTCACGCATTCATAACAGCTCATGCATTGGTAACAGCTCACGCATTGATAACAGCTCATGCATTGATAACAGCTCATGCATTGATAACAGCTCACGCATTGATAACAGCTCACGCATTCATAACAGCTCACGCATTGATAACAGCTCACGCATTGATAACAGCTCACGCATTCATAACAGCTCACGCATTGATAACAGCTCATGCATTGGTAGCAGCTCACGCATTGATAACAGCTCACGCATTGATAACAGCTCACGCATTGGTAACAGCTCATGCATTGGTAACAGCTCACGCATTGATAACAGCTCACGCATTGATAACAGCTCATGCATTGATAAAAGCTCATGCATTGATAACAGCTCATGCATTGATAACAGCTCATGCATTTATAACAGCTCACGCATTGATAACAGCTCACGCATTGATAACAGCTCACGCATTCATAACAGCTCACGCATTGATAACAGCTCACGCATTGATAACAGCTCACGCATTGATAACAGCTCACGCATTGATAACAGCTCACGCATTGATAACAGCTCACGCATTGATAACAGCTCATGCATTGATAACAGCTCATGCATTGATAACAGCTCACGCATTGATAACAGCTCACGCATTCATAACAGCTCACGCATTGATAACAGCTCACGCATTGATAACAGCTCACGCATTCATAACAGCTCACGCATTGATAACAGCTCATGCATTGGTAGCAGCTCACGCATTGATAACAGCTCACGCATTGATAACAGCTCACGCATTGGTAACAGCTCATGCATTGGTAACAGCTCACGCATTGATAACAGCTCACGCATTGATAACAGCTCATGCATTGATAAAAGCTCATGCATTGATAACAGCTCATGCATTGATAACAGCTCATGCATTTATAACAGCTCACGCATTGATAACAGCTCACGCATTGATAACAGCTCACGCATTCATAACAGCTCACGCATTGATAACAGCTCACGCATTGATAACAGCTCACGCATTGATAACAGCTCACGCATTGATAACAGCTCACGCATTGATAACAGCTCACGCATTGATAACAGCTCACGCATTGAAGCTCATGCATTGATAACAGCTCACGCATTGATAACAGCTCACGCATTGAAGCTCATGCATTGATAACAGCTCACGCATTGATAACAGCTCACGCATTGATAACAGCTCACGCATTGATAACAGCTCATGCATTGATAACAGCTCATGCATTGATAACAGCTCACGCATTGATAACAGCTCACGCATTCATAACAGCTCACGCATTGATAACAGCTCACGCATTGATAACAGCTCACGCATTCATAACAGCTCACGCATTGATAACAGCTCATGCATTGGTAACAGCTCACGCATTGATAACAGCTCACGCATTGATAACAGCTCACGCATTGGTAACAGCTCATGCATTGGTAACAGCTCACGCATTGATAACAGCTCACGCATTGATAACAGCTCATGCATTGATAACAGCTCACGCATTGATAACAGCTCATGCATTGATAACAGCTCACGCATTGATAACAGCTCATGCATTGATAACAGCTCATGCATTGATAACAGCTCACGCATTGATAACAGCTCACGCATTCATAACAGCTCACGCATTGATAACAGCTCACGCATTGATAACAGCTCACGCATTCATAACAGCTAACGCATTGATAACAGCTCACGCATTGATAACAGCTCATGCATTGATAACAGCTCACGCATTGATAACAGCTCATGCATTGATAACAGCTCATGCATTGATAACAGCTCACGCATTGATAACAGCTCACGCATTCATAACAGCTCACGCATTGATAACAGCTCATGCATTGGTAACAGCTCACGCATTCATAACAGCTCATGCATTGGTAGCTCATGCATTGATAACAGCTCATGCATTGATAACAGCTCACGCATTGATAACAGCTCACGCATTCATAACAGCTCACGCATTGATAACAGCTCACGCATTGATAACAGCTCACGCATTCATAACAGCTCACGCATTGATAACAGCTCATGCATTGATAACAGCTCACGCATTGATAACAGCTCACGCATTGATAACAGCTCACGCATTGATAACAGCTCACGCATTGATAACAGCTCATGCATTGATAACAGCTCATGCATTGATAACAGCTCACGCATTGATAACAGCTCATGCATTGATAACAGCTCACGCATTGATAACAGCTCACGCATTGATAACAGCTCACGCATTGATAACAGCTCACGCATTGATAACAGCTCACGCATTGATAACAGCTCACGCATTGATAACAGCTCATGCATTGATAACAGCTCATGCATTGATAACAGCTCATGCATTGATAACAGCTCACGCATTGATAACAGCTCACGCATTGATAACAGCTCACGCATTGATAACAGCTCACGCATTGATAACAGCTCATGCATTGATAACAGCTCACGCATTGATAACAGCTCACGCATTGATAACAGCTCACGCATTGATAACAGCTCACGCATTGATAACAGCTCATGCATTGATAACAGCTCATGCATTGATAACAGCTCACGCATTGATAACAGCTCATGCATTGGTAACAGCTCACGCATTGATAACAGCTCACGCATTGATAACAGCTCACGCATTCATAACAGCTCACGCATTGATAACAGCTCATGCATTGATAACAGCTCACGCATTGAAGCTCATGCATTGATAACAGCTCATGCATTGATAACAGCTCACGCATTGATAACAGCTCACGCATTGATAACAGCTCACGCATTGATAACAGCTCAAGCATTGATAACAGCTCACGCATTGATAACAGCTCACGCATTGATAACAGCTCACGCATTGATAACAGCTCACGCATTGATAACAGCTCACGCATTGATAACAGCTCACGCATTGATAACAGCTCACGCATTGATAACAGCTCACGCATTGATAACAGCTCACGCATTGATAACAGCTCACGCATTGATAACAGCTCACGCATTGATAACAGCTCACGCATTGATAACAGCTCACGCATTGATAACAGCTCACGCATTGAAGCTCATGCATTGATAACAGCTCACGCATTCATAACAGCTCATGCATTGGTAACAGCTCACGCATTGATAACAGCTCACGCATTGATAACAGC